TAGTCGATTAGGTAGAGTAATGGAAAAGCTACTCCATGATATTTCAAAGAAGTTTGCATATCAGTGAAAGATGGAAAAGCGATTCGATGATCTTTGAAGATTGTCATAACTAGATCGATATATTTGTGGAATTCGCAACCATGTCCTCGTTTCGCTTTTTTCCTCCTTTCCCTTATTTTGATTTGAAAAATGTCATAGTAAAACTCAACTTGTCGAATCTGATATTTGAAGTTGCAATTTATAAAATTATCAGTTGATCTTGCAAAGTGATCTTCTGATTCTTAAGAGGAAGACAAATTTGATAACAATCGATATAATATTTTTGGAATTTAGAAACGTGTCTTAATTTCGCCTTTTTCCTCTTTTCTCTTATTTTGAGTTGAAAAAATATTCAATTTGTCAAATCTGGTATTATAAAAATTATCAGTTTATCTTTCAAAGTGATCTTGTGAACCTTATAACGAAGAATGTTAACATGTTTAGCTTGTTATCGGTTCGAAAAAAGTGAATTACAGATATTCGATCAGCATAAAGGAAATCTGAAAATTATCTGATGATAGTTCCTACAACTTGATTGTTGTCTTTATATATTTGAAAGCTTTTATCAGAAGAATATATTAATCCCTGATATTCATTCCAACAAGACTGAAACTGACTGATCTTCTCAACAACAAGACATTAACAAGACTTTTTTAAGTCTTTTAAGACTTTCTTTAATGGTCAATCCTGCAGCTTATTGATTTCTTCATATAAAATCCGGCAATTCTAGAAGCGTACCAAATCAATACCCCTCCAAGTCAACAGACTGATTCCAGTAGTTTACTACTAGAGTTGAATTGCCAAGCTCTCTAGATTTAAAGATTTCTACTTTTCTAAAGGCAAAGGAAACATCCTAGGACGTATATCGTTGAGATTTCTAGAATAAAAGGTACACGGTTCAAGAAAACCTTCCTCATTGACGAAAAAAACTATCGATTGTTACAACTCCCGTTGATTTGAATAACGTTGGTTGTTTATATTTAATATTAATTACCTACGCCTTCCGGATCGTTCCTATGCTACAATTTAAAAATGTCACTAATAGTAAAGGAAATATCAATACTATAGTCGTCTATATAATACATTTATGCATATTTTGTAAATTACAATAAATTGTCATAAACTTAATGCATGTGACAGCAGTCATTATCATATTCGAAATCAACCAATTCCATGTATTCGATTATGTCAGTAATGTTGTGGCATTAAAACGTTTTCGAACATTTATTATTATTGCTGCTGCTGCTGATTGTTGTTGTTACTGTTATTGTCACATACATACATAAAAAACAAATAATCAACAACTTCATGTTGATGATGATCAACAACGATATACAATTTGTCATTGCCAGATGATGGTTTATTTATAATGATGGAGTGTCAGTTAATTTGAAAGAATGATGGAATTAATTGGTTGCTATTCATGGAATGGTTTTTTTACACGAATAAATTTAATCATTTTAAGATTTTAATGCTGTTAACAAAATAATTTATACAAACATATGAATATAACAAATTGCAGATTAACAATTATGTTCTGGAAATCAGGAAGAATTTTTTAAATATGTAATAATTAAGTAATATTGGCAACAAGGTTTTTATTTATTATTTAATTAAAATTAAACTAGATTTTATTTCTGCATTTAAATACTTATTTCAGTTTAATTTAATCCCTCTCAATTTGTCATTGTTTTAATTGTAAACAAATTAGAACTGTCATTATCAAGCTAATGCTTACACTTCTATTTTTCCAGTTTTTTTATTAATCCCCAAATTGCATTGAATGAAATCAAATTGTTTTAATTTTATTAAACATTTAATCACATCTACAAACATTATGTATTTAGGAGTTAATGAGTTGTGATAAGTATGTTAATTGAAGGTTAATGATTTATTATTAAATAATTATTGTTAATAATCAAATAAAATAATAACAAATTTGTGAATATTTACAAAAAAAAAAACATAAATATATTAACAAAGACTGGCTTTTAGAAAAAAAATCGTAACAAGATTGTGAAAGCATTTCCTTTAAATTTAATGGCAAGAAAAAAAACAACAACAAGATTATCAAAACAAATACAAATATGTAATTGATGGCGTAAGAACAAAAAGTAAGTACTACTAGTTCTAGAAATGTTGATGGATTTTATATGATGGTTACACTAGCAAATTGATTTTTAATTGAATTTTTGAAAAGTAAATGTGAATTTTATGTGAAAACTGGAATAACATAATTTTTATAAAAATTAAAATTTTTCTATTTTTTGTAAAAATTTAAATTTTTTTGTAGCAATAAATTTTTCAAATAAAGATAGATGTATAGATAGATAGATAGATAGATAGATAGATAGATAGATAGATAGATAGATAGATAGATAGATAGATAGATAGATAGATAGATAGATAGACAGATAGACAGAGACAGATACAGATAGATAGATAGATAGATAGATAGATAGATAGATAGATATAGATAGATAGATAGATAGATAGATCGATAGATAGATAGATAGATAGATAGATGATAGTTAGTTAGTTAGTTAGTTAGTTAGTTAGTTAGTTAGTTAGTTAGTTAGTTAGTTAGTTTAGTTAGTTAGTTTGTTAGTTTTTAGTTAGTTAGTTAGTTAGTTAGTTAGTTAGTTTAGTTAGTTAGTTAGTTAGTTAGTTAGTTTAGTTAGTTAGTTAGTTAGTTAGTTAGTTAGTTAGTTTGTTTTAGTTAGTTAGTTAGTTAGTTAGTTAGTTAGTTAGTTTTAGTTAGTTAGTTAGTTAGTTAGTTAGTTAGTTAGTTCGTTAGTTAGTTATTAGTTAGTTAGTTAGTTAGTTAGTTAGTTAGTTCGTTAGTTCTTTCGTTCGTTCGTTCGTTCGTCGTTCGTTTCGTTCGTTCGTTCGTTCGTTCGTTCGTCGTTAGTTCGTTCGTTCGTTCTTCTTCGTTCGTTCGTTCGTTCTTTCGTTCGTTCGTTCTTCGTTCGTTTCGTTCGTTCGTTCGTTCGTTCGTTCGTTTCGTTCGTTCGTTCGTTCGTTCGTTCGTTCGTTCGTTCGTTCGTTCGTTCGTTCGTTTCGTTCGTTCGTGTTCGTTTTCGTTCGTTCTTCGTTCGTTTTTCGTTCGTTCGTTCGTTCGTTCGTTCGTCGTTCGTTCGTTTCGTTCGTTCGTTCGTTCGTTCGTTTCGTTCGTTCGTCGTTCGTTCGTTTTTCGTTTTTCGTCGTTCGTTCGTTCGTTTCGTTCGTTCGTTCGTTTCGTTCGTTCGTTCTTCGTTCGTTTTTTCGTTCGTTTTCGTTCGTTCGTTCGTTGTTCGTTTCGTTCGTTCGTTCGTTCTTCGTTCGTTCGTTCGTTCGTTCGTTCGTTCGTTCTCGTTCGTTCGTTCGTTTCGTTCGTTGTTCGTTCGTTCGTTCGTTCGTTCGTTAGTTCCTTCGTTCCTTCCTTTCCGCCTTTTTTTCTTTCCCACCCCCCTTCCCCCTCCCTTTTCCCCCCTTTCCCCTCTTGGGCCTCTCGCTTCCTAACCTCCTCCTCAACTCCAGGCTTGTCCCATGTCCGTGTAACGCCTAATCATGATTTTTGTTTTATAATTCTAATACTTACCATCAATTCTTCGTTGACTCTTTTTTTTTCAAATTAACACTTGTGTTTTTTTTTTCCATTTCTGCTACTGTTGGTTTTGTTATAGATTTATATTAAATACGATGAAGAAACATGAAGAGTTTTTAGCAGCAATGACAATAAAAAATAAATAAAAAACCAAAAACAAAACTTATAAATGCAATATTGAATGCATTTCAATTGAAACAACAACACCAATAAAAAAATAAATTTAATTGCATACAAACATGAAACATTTACATGGATTTAAAACTAATACAGAGACTCCCATACATACATAGATACAAAAACATGCGAATATTTTAAACTAGAATGGAATTGAAACTGTAAAGGAAATACTTGTGCATTGGTAAAATGAACTTGTAATCTAAAGCCAAAAACAATAACAACAATAAAAATAGTACTGAAATTTGTTTTTGTTTTTAGCATATTGCAGTTTTTCGTTTATATTCAATGCATTTATTGAAATTAAACTAAAAAAAATATACATATCTACCAACAAGGTTTCTTTACGTATCTAAAATTTATAGTAATTTTTTATCAACAAAAGACATTTGTTGCTATTGCTCTTTTTGCATTTGAAATTAGTAATAGAAATTGTAAATGTAATACTGGCTTAAAGCCAAAAGTCAGTGAAATATCTATAATAATTTTATGATTTTATATGTCTTATAATCTAGACTATTCTCGAGATGTTATAACATAAATTAAAAACTTTTGATAACAAAAATTTTAAAGTAAATTAACACACAATAAAAATGTAATAAAATTTACAAAAATATTAAAAATAAAAGCTGGTTAGTACTTCTTCTTTAAGCAAAAAAAAAAAAATTGCAACCAATCAACAAAATAGACTGGTTAACATAATTTAACTGAAGTTTATATAAAGATTTAACAGTTTTTTTTTTTTTTGTTTAAATGCAAAATAAAAGCAATAAAATTTTATAAAACAAAACACAAGAAGCTTTATATGAAACAGAGAAGCTGAAGCCAAGTCAAAAAGAACTTAAACATTATTGCAAACAGACTGGTTTTTGAGTTTGGTTTGTTGGCTCAAATTATCAGGAAGTTGAAATTTATATTAAAAGCTGAAGTTGAACTGAAGCTGATCTAAAAATTAACGACAAAAAAGTAACAAAAAAAAGAAGAACAACAACTTAAACAACTTGAGTGGGAATGCTGATAAAAAATAATAATAATATTGGTAACAAAAAAAAAGAACAACAGTTGACAGAAATGGACAAAAATGCTATAAAGAATAAACAGCATTTTGTTGCTGTTGTTGTTGTTAAAAATATCTAGATGAAACAAACCGTAAACGAATAGCAGTTAAATGCACAAAAATATCACATCACACCAATAACGAAAAACCATCCGGTCGGTCATCTGACCATCGTCGCAACCTCAACAGCAGCATAAAAAAGTAAGAAACATCTGCAGATATTTAAAAGAATCAACAGCTAAATAGAAAGCAAAGAATAAACACATACTCGCATAAAAAAGCTTTTTCACTTAATGAAGCTTTTACCCTATCAAATAGTTTTCTTTACATACCAAAATGTGTTAAAATTAAAAAGTTTCGTTTTCTTTAAATAACGAAAATATATGTAAAAGCTTTTTGTCAGAAAAAACTCCCAAATGAAGCTTTTTCTTAAAGATTTTTTTCTAAAATAGTTTGCTTTTTAAGAAGAAATCTTTTTGCATAAACTTTTTATATAAAGCTCTTTTAATAAAAAATTTTGATTTGTATTCAAAATAAAATTTTTAAAAGCTTTTTTAATGCTTTAATATTAAGCATTATTATGAAAAGTTTTATCATGTTAAGCTTTACAGCATTTATATGAAGCTTTTTCATGGTAAGCTTTTATATGAAAATTCTTGATGAAAAGCTTTTATAAAAAGCATTTATATGAAACATTTTAGAAAAGGCTTTTAAGTAAATTTGTTCCATAAAAAAGCTTTTAAATTTAAATACAAAAAACATTTTCATAAAAACTACATTTTTCATAAAAACGCTTTAAAATAAAGCTTTTAACGCTTTTATATAAAAGCTTAAAAAAAGCTTTTATATTAAAAGCTTTTTTAATGCTTTAATATTAAGCATTATTATGAAAAGTTTTATCATGTTAAGCTTTACAGTATTTATATGAAGCTTTTTCATGGTAAGCTTTTATATGAATATTCTTTATGAAAAGCTTTTATAAAAAGCATTTATATGAAACATTTTAGAAAAGGCTTTTAAGTTAATTTGTTCCTTAAAAAAGCTTTTAAATTTAAATACAAAAAACATTTTCATAAAAACTACATTTTTCATAAAAACGCTTTAAAATAAAGCTTTTAACGCTTTTATATAAAAGCTTAAAAAAAAACTTTTATATAAATCTATTGGAATTAATATTTTTTGTGAAAAGTTTTTAAAGTAATATTTGTTATTATAAGCTTTAAACATTTAAAAAGTGTTTCATTAACAGCTTTTTAAATTCAAAGAGCTTTTAGGATAATCCTTTTTCAAAAATCGTTTAAAATATGTCTTTGCATAAAAAGTTTTTAAAACAAGATGTTGCACAAAAAGGTTTAAAATTAAGATTTTGTGCAAAAAGGTTTAAAATTAAGCTTGTGTACAAAAACCATTATAATTAAGCTTTTGCATATAAAGCTTTGAAAATAAGCTTTAGCATAAAAAGTTCCTTAAAATATGATTTTGTATAAAAAGCTTTTTAAGTTTTTTTTCTGTATAAAAAGCTTTATAAATAAGTTTTCTCATACAAAGTTTTTGAGTTAATTTGTTATAAAAAGCTTTTACAGTTTTAAAACCATATTATTAAAAGCTTTTAAGATAATCCTTTTTCAAAAATCTTTTAAAATAAGTTTTTGCATAAAAAGCTTTAAACTTTAAATTTTGAACATAAAGCTCTAAAATTAAGTTTTTGCCCAAAAAAGCCATAAAATTAAGCTTTAGCATTAACATAGAAAGATCATTAAAACATGATTTTGCATTAAAATGAGCTTTAACATAAAAAGTTTTTTAAAAATATTTTTTTGAAATAAAGGTTTTGCATAAAAAGCTTTTTAAAAACATTTTCATAAATAAGTTTTAAAATTTATAATTTATATTTATAATTTAGTTATAAGTGTAATTTTTGTAAAAAGCTTTAAGGCAAACGTTAGTATAAAAAGCTTTTAAAATAAGCTTTTTCATATAAAATGTTTAAAAACTAAGCTTTTGCCTAAAATACTTACAAAATAATATATGAAAAGCTTTAAAAATAAAGCTTGTCCATTTAAACGGTTTTAAAAAAAATCTACACTACCAATAAGATAAATTCATTCCTTAGCATTCCTGTAAACAACTATCAAGTGTCCCATAGCTAGAAAACAAAGAGCAACAACCAATCTACCGTACAAACATTGTTGGCCGTGTGTGTGGTGACTTTAACCAAAAAAGAACAAAAAAATCTACAAAATTTAAAAAAAAAATCACAAATGGACAACAAGTATTTTGCACATGTTTAAATAACCGAAGAAAAAAATACATACAACACGAAGAAATAAATACTTAAACGCTCGTTGAGACATACAATAGTTAATAATATTAAAATTTTTAATTTGGAGGTCAACTACTTAAAGCTTCTTCTCTAGAATCTTACCAGCAGCAAAGCACAACTTTTTCCTACTCTTGTTGCTTTTATATAAAAAAAAAACAAACCGACCAACAATATTAAATAAACTATATTTCAAGAATTGCAGACCAACAACAGCAGCAAACATGACAAACAAAAAGGTTAAAACCAGAATTTAATTTATTTAAGAAATGGAAATTTTCTACTAAGATGGTGAAGGCGAAGATGATGATGTTAAATCTTGAAAAAGAATTAATATCTATAAGAGAAGTAAATGTAACAGCAAAAAAAAAAAAACAAGAAGAATTTTATTTAATCTAAATCTTCAGTTTAATGTAATGACCTTGATTCCTTGATTAAATATCTTTAGTCACTGTCACTGTATTACAGGACACAAAAGAAGAAGAAGAACACACGCATTGGTCTGTGTCTTGCACAAAAAATTACATTTATAATAAAAAATGAATTAAGTTTTAAAAAAAGAAAGAGATTTATGTTTAAATTGTTTAAGAACACCACATACTTACTGTGATAGCTGAAGGTCATTTACAAAGAGGATTTATTATGTATCGAACAGAACTGAAAATATGCTATAAATTCTTAAATGGAAACCGGCGAAAAAGGAAACAATTTGATCAATTGACAATTTAGAAAATTTAAAACCGTTATTAAATAATGGTTTTTACTGTTTTATAAAGACTATAGACTAGACTATAAACTAGACTAGAGTAGAATAGACTAGACTACAGACTAGACTAAAGACTAGACTAAAGACTAGACTATAGACTAGACTATAGACTAGACTAAAGACTAGACTATAGATTAGACTATAGACTAAACTATAGCCTAGACTACAGACTAGACTATAGATTAGACTATAGACTAGACTATAGACTAGACTATAGAATAGACTATAGATTAGACTATAGACTAGACTATAAACTAGACTAGAGTAGAATAGAGTAGACTACAGACTAGACTAAAGACTAGACTATAGACTATACTATAGACTAGACTGTAGACTAGACTATAGACTAGACTATAGACTAGACTATAGACTAGACTATAGACTAGACTATAGACTAGACTAAAGACTAGACTATAGATTAGACTATAGACTAAACTATAGCCTGGACTATAGACTAGACTATAGATTAGACTATAGACTAAACTATAGACTAGACTATAGATTCGACTATAGACTAGACTATAGACTAGACTATAGAATAGACTATAGATTAGACTATAGACTAGACTATAGACTAGACTATAGACTAGACTAGACTATAGACTAGACTATAGACTAGACTATAGAATAGACTATAGATTAGACTATAGACTGGACTATGGACTAGACTATAGACTAGACTATAGACTAGACTATAGACTAGACTATAGACTAGACTATAGACTAGACTATAGACTAGACTATAGACTAGACTATAGACTAGACTATAGACTAGACTATAGACTAGACTATAGACTAGACTATAGATAGACTAGACTATAGACTAGACTATAGACTAGACTATAGACTAGACTATAGACTAGACTATAGACTAGACTATAGACTAGACTATAGACTAGACTATAGACTAGACTATAGACTAGACTATAGACTAGACTATAGACTAGACTATAGACTAGACTATAGACTAGACTATAGACTAGACTATAGACTAGACTATAGACTAGACTATAGACTAGACTATAGACTAGACTATAGACTAGACTATAGACTAGACTATAGACTAGACTATAGACTAGACTATAGACTAGACTATAGACTAGACTATAGACTAGACTATAGACTAGACTATAGACTAGACTATAGACTAGACTATAGACTAGACTATAGACTAGACTATAGACTAGACTATAGACTAGACTATAGACTAGACTAGACTATAGACTAGACTATAGACTAGACTATAGACTAGACTATAGACTAGACTATAGACTAGACTATAGACTAGACTATAGACTAGACTATAGACTAGACTATAGACTAGACTATAGACTAGACTATAATAGACTAGACTATAGACTAGACTATAGACTAGACTATAGACTAGACTATAGACTAGACTATAGACTAGACTATAGACTAGACTATAGACTAGACTATAGACTAGACTATAGACTAGACTATAGACTAGACTATAGACTAGACTAGACTAGACTAGACTATAGACTAGACTATAGACTAGACTATAGACTAGACTATAGACTAGACTATAGACTAGACTATAGACTAGACTATAGACTAGACTATAGACTAGACTAATAAAATTAAAAAAATTTCAATGCTATGTATAATAAAATATTCGTAAAAAGTAACATTCAAGTATTCGAATACTCGATTAATCGACAAGAATTGTTCGAATTATTCTAAATTGGAAATTTTTTATTCGTTCGAAGAAAGATATTTTTTTTTCCTCGAGTAATCGAATAATTTTTATTCGAATGACAACCCTACCAGATAGTATCATCTGTCTGTCCGTATATCATATGTACATATATTATGATGCAATCAATTTTCTGTTTTCCCTAGATGTGTATATCTGTATGGCTGTCTGTACGTTAGGGCCTTGAGGTAATAGCCGGCACTTTTAATAAATTTTTATATTACTATTTGAACAACTTTTTTTAAAGTGTCTTTTTAAAATATTATTTCAGTTTTCTCAAGTAAACAAAATAATAATTTTTCTCTATTTTTAATATTTTATAAAACAAGCAACAAAAAACATTAAAATCATCGAAAATCCTGAATCCCAAGTCCAAGATCTAACAATGAATACAAACATTGGTTTCATGATTATTATTCTATTATTTCTGATCAAAACATCACATGTTTTCGGTAAATTATGTTATGAATGTGAATCAACGGCCAAAGATGAGAGTTGCAAAACTGTATTCTATCAACAAAAGAAATATTTAACAGAGTGTAGTTCAAAAGCCATTACGTGCTATACCGTTGAAGTTTTCTCTCGTAAGATTAAATTATATTTTGTAAATTAAACTGCGTCTCCTTTTATTTAAATTATATTAATTTGATTTATTAGGTGATGCTCTCGGAGACTATGCAGTTCGGAGAGGATGCTATATTCGTGGAGAAAATATTTATGGTAATAGGTCTGAAATTCAACCAGTTGGACACTATCATTATTGTCCTTTCGATGCCTGTAACTATGATCATAATTTATTTGATTTTGGAAACACTGCCTGGAGATTTAATCAAAAATATGTGATGCATTTTGCTGCATTATGTTTTGTTTTATTGCATTAGATTTGAAATTTTGCCAGGTGTGGGAGTAATTATAGTGATTCTAAAAAGGAATGTAGGATTTGATCAATTATGAACCGAATATTTTCATGCTTGTACGGAATTATATACATAAATATATTTATTTTTAAATTTTATATATCACAATTATTGTTAGGATTAGTTTCCTATAGAATTTCGATTCCAGAGAAAATATAAAAATTCAAAAAGTTCAGGAAATATTCAGTTATCAACAAAAAAGTCCACGGCCAGTTATGATCATTTTCCTATAGAAAAGAACACAATCAATTCCTATATAAAGTTCATGAACAATCTTCTAAAGTTCCCGAAAAGTTTGCGATCAGTTTTCTATTGAAAAGTTTTCTACAGAGAAGTTTACGATCAGTTTGCTATAGGAAAGTTTAAGAACAATTTTCTGTAGAAAATTTTACGATCCGTTTCCTAAAATGTATTTTTCGGTTTTACTGAAAGAACGATTCAACTGCTGATAAATCTCTCAATATTCAAAACATCAAATCACCGAGAATCCAAAATACCAAGTCTAAGACCTAACGAGGAATTCGATCTTTTGTGTATAAAAATTCCTGTTTTGAAAACTAACGTTTGTTTAAAGTTTTTAAAATTTTCTACATTTTTTGTTTACTTTAATAAAGTTTCTTTTAAATAACGTACTTTTTTGAAAAAATCCTTTAAATAAAGAAACAAATTTGTATAAGAAAACTTTTTCGAAAACTTATATGTATGTTACAACGAAATTAGTCATTTTAATTGAGAACTCAACAAATAAGAATCATATTTTCTTCTAAGAATTATTTAACAAGACGTTTTATTATTGTTATTGAATGTATATACACATGTATTTTCTTGTTTAAAAATTTGTTAAATTTTTACACCATTTTCAATTTTAATTTAGAAAATTCATTTGTATTTCAGATAATTTAATTGAATTGGGAATTTCTGAAATACAAATAAAAATCTAAAATTAGAAATTTCTTAACATCAAACTTAAACAATTACAAAATTCTAAAATGTGGGAAATGGTTTAATATGTAGTACATAAAGTATTGAATTGTTAAAGAATATGTATGTGTTTGTAAGGTGCTCATGATTTTATGAGAGTGGTTACGTTTAAACACCTTACTGAAACGTGATAATACATATATTTAATAGCGCAAAAATCAAAACAAATTGAACTAATTCAATGTTCACAAATCATGTGTCTTTTTCATTAAAACGCTGCTGGAAGAGGAAGGAAAACAAAACAAAAGCAACTAAATCACAATATTAGTCATCAATAAATTAAAGTACACATGAATAATATTAAAAAAATAATAATAAAAATATTTATTGCACTTTAGCTTCAATACGAGTACCTGTTTGAATTTATTGTAAAATTATATTTGTTTGTAACCAAAAAGTTTTTTTTCACAAAACCCCTCCCTTACATACTTATTTCTTATAAGTATCGGACTATTTTGTGGTTCATTTAAATAAACACCTGGAGTTGGGCTTTTCATTAATTTTTTTTCGTTTACGTGTAAAAACAACAACAAAAATTAAATAGTAATTGTTGCATAAAAAAGTGATGATTTTTTATTTATTACAATTCAAATTTGTGGTTTTTAAAAGGGAAGTTGTTAACAAATAAAGCAACAAAAAAACTGTATTAAAAGTATTCTTTTTGTGGTTGTTGTTTATAAAGAACAATAATAACTTAAGGTTTGTGACAGGTGTTAACTAACTAACTAACTAACTAACTAACTAACTAACTAACTAACTAACTAACTAACTAACTAACTAACTAACTACTAACTAACTAACTAACTAACTAACTAACTAACTAACTAACTAACTAACTAACTAACTAACTACTAACTAACTAACTACTAACTAACTAACTAACTAACTAACTAACTAACTAACTAACTAACTAACTAACTAACTAACTAACTAACTAACTAACTAACTAACTAACTAACTAACTAACTAACTAACTAACTAACTAACTAACTAACTAACTAACTAACTAACTAACTAACTAACTAACTAACTAACTAACTAACTAACTAACTAACTAACTACTAACTAACTAACTAACTAACTAACTAACTAACTAACTAACTAACTAACTAACTACTAACTAACTAACTAACTAACTAACTAACTAACTAACTAACTAACTAACTAACTAACTAACTAACTAACTAACTACTAACTAACTAACTAACTAACTAACTAACTAACTACTAACTAACTAACTAACTAACTAACTAACTAACTACTACTAACTAACTAACTACTAACTAACTAACTAACTAACTAACTAACTACTAACTAACTACTACTAACTAACTAACTAACTAACTAACTACTACTAACTAACTAACTAACTAACTAACTAACTAACTACTAACTAACTAACTAACTAACTAACTAACTAACTAACTAACTAACTAACTAACTACTAACTAACTAACTAACTAACTAACTAACTAACTAACTAACTAACTAACTAACTAACTAACTAACTAACTAACTAACTAACTAACTAACTAACTAACTAACTAACTAACTAACTAACTAACTAACTAACTAACTAACTAACTAACTAACTAACTAACTAACTAACTAACTAACTAACTAACTAACTAACTAACTAACTAACTAACTAACTAACTACTAACTAACTAACTAACTAACTAACTAACTAACTAACTAACTAACTAACTAACTACTAACTAACTAACTAACTAACTACTAACTAACTAACTAACTAACTAACTAACTAACTAACTAACTAACTAACTACTAACTAACTAACTAACTAACTAACTAACTAACTACTAACTAACTAACTAACTAACTAACTAACTAACTAACTAACTAACTAACTAACTAACTAACTAACTACTAACTAACCTAACTAACTAACTACTAACTAATACTAACTAACTAACTACTAACTAACTAACTAACTAACTAACTAACTAACTAACTAACTAACTAACTAACTACTAACTAACTAACTAACTAACTAACTAACTAACTAACTAACTACTAACTAACTAACTAACTAACTAACTAACTAACTAACTACTAACTAACTAACTAACTACTAACTAACTAACTAACTACTACTACTAACTACTAACTAACTAACTACTAACTAACTAACTAACTACTAACTAACTAACTAACTAACTAACTAACTAACTAACTAATAACTACTAACTAACTAACTAACTAACTAACTAACTAACTAACTAACTACTACTAACTAACTAACTAACTAACTAACAACTAACTAACTAACTAACTAACTAACTAACTAACTAACTAACTACTAACTAACTACTAACTAACTACTACTACTAATAACTAACTAACTAACTACTAACTAACTAACTAACTAACTAACTAACTAACTACTAACTAACTAACTAACTAACTAACTAACTAACTAAACTACTAACTACTAACTACCTACTAACTAACTAACTAACTAACTACTAACTAACAACTAACTAACTAACTAACTACTAACTAACAACTAACTAACTAACTAACTAACTAACTAACTAACTACTAACTAACTAACTAACTAACTAACTAACTAACTAACTAACTAACTAACTACTAACTAACTAACTTCTTGACACAAACATAATATCGGAATACAGTATCAATTCGGGTTGGGATCAAGTTAGAATCTATTTTCGTAGAATTTTATCACAGCGATAAGCGATTTATTAACCGTCCAGTACTTTACTATGAAGCTATGTACACACGGTTGTTAGATCTCATAATGTTGGCAGAAATATGTTCAAAAAGTGTCTAACAACCGTGTCAACTTACAACTTTCATCTTGCAATATTGTCAGAAATGCCTTTTTCTGACAACTATGCAAAACAAAAATTGTAAGTTCATGGGATTGTTAGACATTTTCTGAACATTTTTCCGCCAACATTGTTAGATCTGACAACCTTTTATCACAGCTTTAATAAGAATTATATAGGGGATAGGGTTAATTATAAACAAATTCTATTCGTGTTAAATTTCATTGAGTAATAATTTTCTTAAAGAGTTCAAATGGTGACCGATTCTCAGAGGGACTTACATATGTGACATAATCAACTTCACTACCAAAAACACCCGAAATTGAAGGATCAGAAATTATAAACGGAATGAAAAAATTTCCTTTCCAAATTATTTATTGGACCTATTAATGTGTTGCTATTGACGTAATCCTCTCAATTCAGGGTCAAAAGCTTTCAACTGCTCTTCCATATAAAATTGTGTAATTATTTGAAGCTATTGTGTTTTTTTGTCTTTAAAATCGCTTAGAACAATTTTTAACTATTTATTCATGCTGTTAAACAATAAAAAAAAAAATGACAAAAAAAAAAAAACGGTGCAAACTGAAAAATGACGAGCCAGTTGGACTTGAATGTATGTGCATTTAGAACAAATGAAAACGAAAATAAAACACATATTGAAAAAAAGCAAATATTTGTGGTTTAGAACATGCCTTAATTGCAAAAAAATAAAAATCGAACAAAAACTTAAATTTTGTACAAAACGAATGACATACAGTGGTGGCCATGAGGTTAGCACATTTGGTATCTGTTAAATATAAAATCAAATATTTCCTATAGTTCTTAACTTTTTTAACAAATTCTTTTTTATGCGTAACACATGTCCTTCGAGGATCACGACACATTACATTTTGTTCCACTACTTTGTTGCAGATAGATTTCTTTCTTTCCAAAGTACATCTACCCCAAAAAAAATTTGGACATAAGTTTAGCACAAAATAAAAAAATCATTAAAAAATTAAAAATAAAGCAAAGAAACTGGATAATTTTATGTAATTTCACTTAAAATTTTATATTTTGTAGAATAGTTGCACATTTTGATAATATCATTTCTTCTCCTGGACATAATCTTCACCAGAACCCACTAGAAATTTCATGACATAAATTTTAACCCATAAATAGGCAAAATTCTTAGGAATTTGTGTTTTATTTGTTGCACCATTTCGTTTAATATGTTCCCTATTGGATTGGAATCTAGAAATTATTCTGGGGGCTGCAAACATGTCAATCTCGCTCGCTTCCAAGAAGCTCCTCTCTGTACT